TGGCTTTGGTACGGGTGTGTTGCCGCCGCACGCAACTGAGAGGTTGCGAAGACGGGTAAGTGACTTACCCACTGCAGGTACATAAGCGGCTTGACGTAACACCCTGATTTGCATCGCAAAGAGCGCCCACGAGCGTCGTTTTCATTCTCGTACAAGATTACAACCTTCGGAGCTGCTCCGCAGTCGGTTAGTTTAGCGAATATACGTGTTAGACGGTCATGTTCGGATTCGGTTAGTTGGCTCACATACATATACCATTAGTGGGACACAAAAATAATACGTCAGGGATAAGGTGATACAGAGGGACTATTTTATTTTGAACATCATTATTTACTAATAAAAACTATTTAAATTAGAGTGTGTATTTTTCTTTCATATTGCCACACTTGGTAACCGTTTTATAAAAGCAATAGCTCACTTCAGGCCATGGTATATGCTCATTATATCACAGCTAAGGGGCGTGGTTCAACCCTCACTGTCGTGAGCTATTGCTCAAATCTATCTATCTATCTATCTATCTATCTATCTATCTATTTATCTATCTATCTATCTATCTATCTATCTATCTATCTATCTATCTATCTATCTATGTGCAGCATGTACATACACAGTGCCACGTTGACATTGTTTGAATGTTAAATTGAGAGCATCTCTCTCCGCTCCCTTTGCTTTCCGTCTTCCCCTCTCCCCACCATCTCTGGAGAATTGTTGTGTTATTCCTTGAGTCTCTGTCTGATTTCAAGATGAAGCAGTTTACCGTCTGACTTCCTCACCGTTCAACTCCAGGAAGAAATCAAACCCCTCCACCATCTTTTTATAGCCTCTGCTACTGTATCTCTGTGTCTGGTTCTTTTTTTGAACTTTGCATGGCGCTTAGAAAGTAGGTTTTGTTCACTTTTTGTGAAGTAGCCTTTTCAGAGTGTTGCACCTGAAGCATCAGGTGGCATCATGGGACATACTTTGTATGTGCCATTCTACATGAATGGTTTAGTACATCCACCCATCCATCATGCTCTCATGAGATTCCTCTGTGAGATGTGTGTGCTCTCTGCACCAGTTGAAAAGCCTTTCTCAGCAGAAGGTGGGCAAAGTGAAAAGAGCAGCAGGGCTCCTTGTCTGCCCTGTTGGGTAAACGCATTATCCTCTACTTTCTTTTTTAAATATTTCATTCAATCTTTGCATAATATAAAGGTTAGAATCCAGGTCTGACTCGTAATGACACTTAGATGAAAGGGTTTTGTGTGTGTGTGTTCCAAACAACAACACATCTGGGTTGCTGTGCTCCCAACCTGAATATTTCGGATGCCCACTGTAGAGTGAAAGCCAGCACTCTGTGATGCTCTTTATCTGGCATTTTGTGTCTGCAATTACTGTACTATCCTGAAATAGAATGTTTAAAATGCCATCAATTGCTGCTATGTTAATGGATATTTAAAAATGTGGTGACGTTCCTTAAATACGACACACTTCTGAAGAGGTCACTTTGCTTGCACTTGCTGTGCAGAAAAAGAGTAAGGCAGGTGAAGAATGCCTGTGTTTGTTTACTCTCCTTTCTTCTTTCCCTCAAATTGTCTTTGGCATTGTGCAGCACTGCAGCACCAGGGACTCTACAACACAAAATGGGCCTTGCAAATAATAGCACACACTCAGGGCTGAGGGCATTTTGATGATGAGTAGGCAGGAACATAAAGGCCAAGGTCTTGAAGTGTAGTCCACAACTTGCTTGTAATTATTTGATGCTGTCTTTTTCCACCTCCAAATCAATAACCCCAACACCTCCTTGGTCATTTTATTTTAGAAATGTCTTAATTGATTTTGCATATTGGAAGCACCTATTTTGACTGTTATACTTTAACTTTGATAATATATAAGAAAGTCTTTGACTTTCACTAACACAGACTTATTCTAGAAGATTGACGGCTCAAAGTTGTACACACTGCATGCTCAATCAACCCTTTCAGTCTCTGGTCCATCAGTGAAAAATCTTATACCACATGCTGTATAATGGTGATTTTTCAGTGCGAAAATGCTGCCGTAGGTTGCTCTATACCACTCACTCACAGATGATAGATAACCTCCACTGGCTTTATTTACACACAAAAAACTCATTTTTAAGAAATCTCCACCATTTTTGCAAAAGTCTGGTCTGTAACCTGCTCTCGCAACAAATAGCAACAAGTACCACACTCCTCTCCCACTTCTGTCCCTCCGGGCCTGCCAAGGGCGAGTAACACAAATCTGTACAAGTTGTTCAATTCATTTGAAATTGCATCACCAGTCACACATTATATCACCTGCAGCTGCTTCTCAGAAATCAGTCCTAAATGTTCTTATTCAGCCTCACTATTATTGGCTTCATTTTGATGCAGTGTTTCATCATTTTCACACGGTAATCATGATTGTCATTGTTTTAATAGTCCAACCTGTCCCCTGCTAGTACTCTCAAATGATAATCTGCAGTGATTTGTCTGGTCGTCAGTGGCAACAAGGGCTACCCTAATCTCAAGGACCATCCAGAAAATATTACCTGTGACTAACATTTCTTTGAAGCACGAGCTAATCACTTTTCACTAATGTTGGCGATGTAGGAAGAAAATGTCTCTTATTGCTTTATCATTATACTGTAATGGATCCCTGTAATGTACAGCACATTACTGTACCTCCAAGCCAAATTAACCACCATACAAATCTCAACTTTTTCTCATTAAATTCAAAAATGAATACTACACAAAAAAGGAGAAACCTTTCTTTATAATTCATCAGTCAGCCTGGGCCTGGGTGCACAGACATTTGTCCCATAAAATGCTTGATGAAAGGCTCTTAGTGGCACTGGCTTGGACTGATTGCATATGCACGGCCAGTAATGGTGAATATATTTGGCCCACAGGGGAGCAGTGCTCCCTGTCTGTGTAATGCTTTGATCACCCCAAGACACCAGCAGCCCTGGCTGCATTTCCTACCATTTCTTCCCCTATGCCACAGGAAAATATTAGCCAGCTTTAAAAAAGCTGTCACATGTGATTGAATGACTCTAATGTAACAATGTCTTTAGCCAAGATTGATTTTCTTTGCATGTAAATGGTGAGTGTTGGATGAAATATTTGTCTGTCAGCATTGTTGTTCTTTATACAGTCATAGCTTACTGTCATCAGAGCCCTGTCGTGATATAACACAACACGTAGGAGATAAGTAAATAATACAGACCTTGTGCCATTTGGCAGACCTTTTGTTACTTTCATAAAACTTCTTGCAGATCTGTAGAAGTGTGCAGTAATTTGCACGTGAAAGCCCTTAAACTCATACACACTAACTTGACATCCATGAATGGGGGCGCAGACATTGGCAGTGATGTTATTCTCGATGTTTCACCCTCTGTATGTCTGAATACATCCATCCCTTATTATATTTCATACTCATAAATATTATGTGAATTTTGGAGCATTAAATCTTCCTCCATATGCACTGCCTTCAGCAATGTCAAGTTTGGCTTTGTTTTGAGTGAGGAGGTGTTAGGTCGGCTCACAATGACCAGGCATGAACTTCATTTTTCTTGGGCTCTCTTCATATCGGGTGCAGACTTGTTAGAGGCATTTGTGAGTTTTAAAGTTTAATAAAGTTGAGCCTACGTTGTGGGTGCAGCACACAGCACTTAAGAATTTCTTGAATAGCATTACTAATTACTCCCCTTTGCAAGACAAACATGTGCACACATGTCAACAACATCTTAAACCCTTGAAGGATATTGACTTGATTGCTTTTTAACACATGTTTTCTGAAAACACTGGCCTGTGATGATGTGATAGATTTCACAGGATTTCATCACATCCTCACAAGTTATGCTTTTGTGCATATATCAAATACATTACATTTCACAATGTTTCTCATCATTTCAACTCAGCCAGAA